TTCAAAGGTTGTTTTTAAAAAACACATATATGCATAGGAAAAATGCTGGAAGAATACAGACCAAAAATGAACAGTATTTTGGGGAGTTAGGATTATATTTTTTTCAAGTGTTTTTCCTGATTCTTTATTATATTTTTCCAAATAATCACCAACAAGCATGTATTATATTAACGATAAATCAATTCAATATTTCTAAAAATAAAGATAGTTCTCACCAAAAAGCCTATTTGAAAGCTTACAAGAAGATAAAAACAACTTGGATTGTTTTGAGGAAAGCCACATCCGAACCTGGACACATGAGCTGGAGTCTCTGTGGTTATGAAATTTGGGACAAACGCCTACACAAAATGACTTTTTCTTTCTGCTTGTTTCCAGTTTGTTTTGTTCCAACTCAGAATTCATTGGTGGAAAGCAATGCATTGAAATTATGCCTTAAGAAAAAGCTATTGTTTAAAATATGTAAATTTTCAAGCTTTCAAGGGCTAAAAGGCAATGTCCTATTGTCACCAAGTAAATGGGGGGAAGACTCTACAATAAGGCAGTGTATATACGTATATATGATATATACATATACATGCACATACACGTATATACGTGTATATATAAATGTGTGTATATTGCATTGTTTAGCTCAAACTATCTATACTCTGATAAGCAACCCAACTTCTAATGACTCTATGAGATTATAGCAATGAAGCTTTTAAACTTTTTCAAGGTAATTATCTTCAAAATGTTTATAATAACTTACAGTCATAATTTTGAGACAATCCAAATGCAAATAAATATGGTAAGTTGTTACACTATTAGGACTGCTATTATCCACACCATATGTTGGCAAGCCTGGTTCACCACCTGTTTGGATAGGACTTGTGAGCTAATAATGGTTTTTACATTTTTAAGTGGTTGGGAAAAATCAAAAGAAAAATAATATTTCATGAAATGTGAAAATAGTTTGAAATCCAAAGTTCGGTGTCCACGAAGTTTTGCTGGAACCCAGCCACACACGTTCTTTAAAATCTCATCCAGAGCTGCTTTTGCAATAAAACAGCTTCTTGGAAGAATTACGGCAGAGACCGTAGGCCTGCAAAGTCAAAAATATTTACAGTACTAACTGATTCTGTACAGAAAAAGTGTTTTCAAAGTGGTTCTGAATATCCTTTGTATTTCCTATCATCAGTCTCTAGATAGCAGAAAAGATTCTTAAATTGGGGGGTATGGGGAGACTAAGGCCCCACAGAAGATATTTACGTTTCCAATTAAACCACCCCTAAAAGTCAGCCCTTCCAAAAGTACAAAACTTTTTTCTACATGTGTTCAATAAACCAAAAATTAAATGTCTAGAAGAAACTGAAATATTCATTTAATCTAGAACTAATGTCTGTACTGAAATTTTGCATTTATTCACTCTTGCCTAAAATAAATATTGTGTAAATCTGTACCACAAAAAGAGCTTCGCAGTTTCCTCCCAGCTTTATTGAGGTAAAACTGACATGTGAAATTGTAATATATTTAAAGTGGACAGCACGATGATTTGATATAAGTATACATTGTGAAATGTAGTACCTCAGTCAAGTTAACTAACAATCAATCACCTCACATAGTTACTTTTTCTTTTCCTTTCTTTTTTTTTTTTTCTTGGTAAGAATGCTTAAGATCTATTCTCCTAGCAAATTTCAATACAATGTTATTACAATACAGTGTGATTAACCTGCTGTTCATAGATCCTCAGAATTTACTAATCTTATACCTGAAAGTTTGTACCTTTTACCCACCCCTCCCTATTTCCCTCACCTCCCAGCCCCTGGCAACCACCACTCCACTCTCTGTTTCTGTAAGTTTGACTTTTGTTTAGATTCCACATATAGGGTGAGATCATACAGTATTTGTTTTTCTCTGTCTGACTTATTTCACTCAGCATAATGCCCTCCAGGTCCACCCACATTGTTGCAAATGGCAGGACTTCCTGCTTTTTTATGGCCGAGTAATATTCCTTATATGTTTATACCAAGCTTTCTTTATCCATCAGTCCATCAATAAGCATCTAGGTTATTGTCTTGTCTCCTCCGTGTTCTGTGTCTATGCAACATTCTTCTCTTTTTAGACGGAATTATGCTTGTTACACCTCCAGGTTAAGCAAACTGGATTTAGAATTAGGTAGACTCTGTGTGTGTGTGTTTGTGTGTGTGTGCGTGTTGGGTATATCTTTTTTATCTGACTATAAGTGGTTTTAGGACTTGACTCACTTTTTTTTAGCATTGTACAGAGATAGCCACAAACCAGCTTGTAAGTACTGTGAGTAAGGAGAGTGGGTCACACACACACACGCGCACACACTCCCCGCTTCTTCACATTTACTGTCACATGAAAACCATCTTAGGATCTCCTGGAAGAAGGATGAAATCTCTATTGTCCGCGTGATAACATTATTCATGTTCCTTTAAAATGCAGATATCTCACTTCAACAAGAAGACGAAAAGCACCTGCACCACCTCGCTGGGCGCATGGAGAGAATCCTCACACTGTTCTCACCAAACCCACAATTCTCTCCTGCCACTTCCGTTCCCCTTTCTTTTTTTCTGGAACTTTCCATTCTGGACTTTTCCACAGAAAAATCAAAGTTAAAATAGGACAATGGATAACCCCATGCCAACCACCTAGTTTAGATCATTTTATTTATTTTGCTCTCCTTCTCTTTCTGTCTCCCTCTGTGGGTCTGTGGGTCTCTCCCACAATGGTTGCTAAACCAGTAGGAAGTCACAGACATCCCGAAAGAATTCACCATGTATGTCCTAAATTAACAACATTTTCTTGGATATCCACATACAATCACACACCTAAGAATTAACAGGAATTCTATACTGTCCGCTAATAACCAGTGACTATTGAAATTTCCCCTTTTAACCTCAGAATGCCTCATAGAGATCTGTCGTTGAACAAGGGTGTAATCCAGGGTCAGGCTTCCCATCTGTCTGCGAGGTTTCCTCACTTCTTTAAACTACAACAGTCCCTGCCCAACTCTCTCCACATACATTTCTTTTTCAGGATACTGATTTTTGAAGAGACCAGATCGTTTCCCTTACAGGTTGTACATTCTGGACTTTGATGATCGCTTTCCTGTGGAGTCATTTATTTATTTATTTATTTTTAAATGTTTTTATTGGAATATAATTGCTTTACAATGGTGTGTTAGTTTCTGCTGTATAACAAAGTGAACCAGCTATACATATACATATATCCCCATATCTCCTCCGTCTTGCGTGTCTCCCTCCCACCCTCCCTATCCCACCCCCCTAGGTGGTCACAAAGCACCGAGCTGATCTCCCTGTGCTATGCGACTGCTTCCCACTAGCTATTTTACATTTGGTAGTGTATGTATGTCCATATATACACTACCACTCTCTCACTTTGTCCCAGCTTACCCTTCCCCCTCCCCATGTCCTCAAGTCTGTTCTCTAGTAGGTCTGCATCTTTGTTCCGGTCTTGCCCCTAGGTACTTTATGACTTTTTTTTTTTTTTTTTTTAAGATTCCATATATATGTGTTAGCATACAGTATTTGTTTTTCTCTTTCTGACTTACTTCACTCTGTATGACAGACTCTAGGTCCATCCACCTCACTAAAAATAACTCAATTTCGTTTCTTTTTATGGCTGAGTAATATTCCATTGTATATATGTGCCACATCTTCTTTATCCATTCATCCGATGGTGGGCACTTAGGTTGTTTCCATCTCCGGGCTATTGTAAATAGAGCTGCAATGAACAGTTTGGTACATGACTCTTTTTGAATTATGGTTTTCTCAGGGTATATGCCCAGTAGTGGGATTGCTGGGTCATATGGTAGTTCTATTTGTAGTTTTTTAAGGAACCTCCATACTGTTCTCCATAGTGGCTGTATCAATTTACATTCCCACCAACAGTGTATGAGGGTTCCCTTTTCTCCCTGTGGAGTCATTTAAATCATATTTCTATCCTTTATATTTCCTGTAAAGCGAAAGTTAGGTCTAAAGGTTTAACGATATGATGCCATATTCCCCACAATGCATCAAGCCTAGAAGTCTGAAATGTCAAGGGATCCCACCTTGGGAATGTTAGTTTGGATCAATTGGTTAAGGTGGTGACCACCATTGCAAAGGTCTTTTCCCTTTGTAATTAGCAAATAATAATCAGTGAGGTTATACTCCGTCGTTGTTGCAAACAGCCTTCATCCCAGCAACCTCTTTAAGTCATGGTTTCAGTTTGTGAATAGATCTAAGTATTTCGTTAAAAATTGATTGATAAATGGTAATTTTCTAATTCCAGTATTCCTTTCCCTTTCATTAGCTGGTGTCATCCTGTCAAGAAGAGTTTTCCCTCACTAACTAACTGAGAATGGCCTGGAGTTCCTTCTAAAAAGTCGAAGTAAATGCTGGGTTCTTTACCTTTAATTCCCATTTCATAGTAAGAATTTGGGACAGTAATCACTGACAACTGAAGCAAATTAGATATTTCTCTCTGTCTCCCTGTCTCTCTCTCTCATATACACACACACATCATGGACTCATGCATTTTTACTTTTACATTTTTATAATCATTTGTTTTTGATTAATGATGCCAATAAATGATGCTCAGTTTGTCCTCTGTTTGCCCTTGAGAGCTCCTTACAGCTGATGCTCTGACATGTCCTTATTATCCTTTGCTGTAAAATGTTCTTCCTGGGTCTCTTTCCATGGCTGAGACCATGTGTCTGTCCTTTGCTACAAAGGGCAGCTTCCCCTCCCCGCCGTATCCCAGCAGCACCTCCACCTGAAGCGACACCTCCTCACTCTAGACAGTGTCAGCCAATACATTCAAGGCAGAGCCAGCTTCCCCATCCCTGCCAAACCCTGGCTTGACACGTCAGTGGGCATCCAGGAGAGCCCCAGCAGATGCACAGTGCCCGGCGGGGTCATAAGGGGGCCCTCCCGAGGGCTCGCGGATTATCTTACTGAACTGTGAAATGTCTACCAGCTGATTCCTCTTACCTGGCATAGTAGTCGTTGGGAGGGACTGCTTCTTGGAAGAACTGGAACTGGTACAAATACAGTCCAATCAAGTGTCCCGCAGTGAAGATAGCCAGCAGGACACAGAGACAGCTGAACAGCAAGGGGTCGAAGGTTCGGCACCAGGACCACCAGGTGCACAGACCCAAAAACACAAAGAAGTACACGGACGAGGTCAGAGAGGGCAGCATCATTCCTGAGGAGGGAGAAACGCTAGAGTGAGACACCGCGTAGACGCAGAAACCGTGCGCCTCGCAGGAAACGTCACTACTGGAGATGACGTGAATTTGCTTCCTATGCTTTTAGTACAATTCATCACACTTTATTGATAAAATCAGAATTAATGCTATTCTTAACGTGAAAAAAAGTCACATGTAAAGTGAAATTTGTAAATATGGGGAAATACCAGATGATGAAGAAACCATACCTGTGGCGTTTGGGCCCCGCAAACATCCACTTTTCATACCAGTAGAATTTAGCTTATTTACTTGCCTGTTTCCATCTATCTACTCTCCCCCAGTTCTTCAGGAATACTGCATGTGCACTCTAACTTTCCCCAATAAATTTTTTAAAATAATGATTTGCTTTTGTTTGTTTGTTAACTAGAATTCATAATACCACACTCTGTGGCAGCTAAAGTCTCACTAAACCTTTGCCCTGCCTGATGAGATTTGATTTGCACTACCACTAAAAGGGGAAATGTAAAACGAGGTAATTCCTTTACAGGTATTTAAAAACTCTGGGGGGAGCAATGACTTCCCATCAAAATCCTGAGTTACACTTCTTGAGAAATACTATTCACTTTTCCATTTTCTAACTTTCCTACGGAAAAACAGTTAAATTGTTTCATCTCGTGAAATTTCAGCGAAGCAGGATGGAATAAAGTTCACAGTACCTCTGGGGCAATGGGGAAGGGGGCGAAGATGGAGATAACGTTTTTATGGAACAAGCAGCCCGCAGCCAACAGCGAGAGGAAGTGAGCGTCTGTGCTGGAAGATTACAATCTAACTCTGGAAGAAAAATAGTCTATCCTGGAGAGTTACATTAAGATTGCTAGTGACTCAATGTAAACAGAAAAGCTGTCAGAGAGCACATGTGCGGCTCTGGACGGGACCACGAAAACTGTCCCTTGTCCCAGGTCACCATTCACAGGCTCTGAGGGAGGACAGCAGTTGTCCGGATCGTCACATAGAAAATGATGTCACCTAACAGCTATGGAAGAAGACTGCTTTACAGAGGTTAACAGCAACCATCGAAAAACATAAAACCTAGATCTGAACAGGAAAAGCTACATGTGCGTGTTTGTACATGTGGCCAATTTTACAAAAGCTACAGCTATGATTTTGGTGCCACGGAACAGAACTGCTTCCTTCTTTGTTTTCTCTTCAACCCTTCCTTTCATTACTCGCCAGCTCCCTCCTTGTGCTCCACCAGGAGTTGGAGACCCTCACCTGATGAACCCAGTAAAATCGTCACAACCACCTTCCCCGCGGTGGTTATCATGTTGCCAATGAACTCCTTAAGCTTGGAAGCCACAGAGGCCAGCCTGCGGAACAGTTTTAATTTCGTGCTTTCTTCCAAATCGCCTTCAACACCATCTCTTTCCTCTAAATCCTCTTCATAGATCAGTGCCTCTTCTGGGTCTATTTTTTCTCCTCCAGCCTAAATAAATGAAAAACAGAAAACACTGCAGTCCAGAACTCTGCCTATCCACCCAACAGATTATATGGTTTGCAATATACGGGCTAGCCAATGAGGTGAATTTCACAAATCAGGAAAAATTGCAGACAGCCACTCAACCACGTTAAGCACCCCCAGGTCTCCAGTTGTCCCTGTGTAAAGCCCAAGGAACTTTGATCTTTCCTGAAAAAGTAAACAGGAAGCATCGCTAATCATAGGGTCCCTAACGGCATTTCATCTTACCTACATGAGCTCATTTTTCACAGGCAGAAGAAGAAACTGTCCATTCATAAAGTTAGCTGCTTATGGTTCCTCAAATTTACCGAGTTTGCCACCAAGGTGATGGGAAGTTTGATGAATGTGTCCATGGCTTAAACGGAAAGGATGGGCCAAATCAGCACTTAGGAAATCCCTTTTCTTTCTGGAGTTTATCTTTGTTCACTATTTTAGGATTTCCTGCCCGTGGGAGGATGAGTGGTCCCAGCTACTTGGCTAAATAAACAGTCGCTTCCTATCTTATCCTTTTAGAGAATCATGCACCAGTCCAATCCCAGGCCATTCAGATCCTCAGGACCATCACTAGAGATTCAGGGAGGAAACACATGTACAGCACATACACATACTTCCATGGATTATTTTATTTTTTAAACATCTTTATTGGAGTATAATTGCTTTACAATGGTGTGCCAGTTTCTGCTTTATAACAAAGTGAATCAGTCATACATATACACATGTCCCTATATCTCCTCCCTCCTGCATCTCCCCTCCCTCCCACACTCCCTATCCCACCCCTCTAGGTGGTCACGAAGCACCGAGCTGATCTCCCTGTGCTATGCGGCTGCTTCCCACTAGCTATCTATTTTACGTTTGGTAGAGTATATATGTCCATGCCACTCTCTCACTTCGTCCCCGCTTACCCTTCCCCCTCCCCATGGATTATTTTAAACTGGGTATCCTGTGGGGTCTTTTTGTTTGTTTTTAAAGAACACATAAGAATGTTCTGGCTAATTACAATCTTATCCTGGAAGGATTAGATTTTTTTAAAGGAATTATAAATATAAACCATCACCTTAAGACAAAAGGAGCCGGGTTTGGACGCATGAAACTTTGTTTGCTTTCACCCCAGGCTGACAGGCTTCATCCTGAAAAGACCGCAGCTGTCTGCAGAGCCAGAAGGATCCTTAAGCCCAGATCAGACATGGAGCCAAGGCTTAGAGAGTAGAGCCTGGCTGCTCCATTTTCCCATTTTAAAGGTTCTTTCTTTTAAAAATTTTTTTATTGAATGAAAGATTCTTCAAATCCTATAGTGCTTTACAACTTTCAAAAGTTTCACACACATGGTTTCATATAATTCCATAGCAAGCCTTTTCCCCCAACCCTTATATTGCCCCTCCCCGCTTCCCTCTCCCCACTGGTAAACCACTAGTTTGTTCTCTATATGTGTGTGTCTGCTTCTTTTTGTTTTATTCACTAGTTTGTCATATTTTTTAGATTCCACATATAAGTGATAACACACAGTACTTATCTTTCTCTGTCTAACTTATTTCACCTAGCATGATGCCCTTCAAGTCCGTCCATGGTGCTGCAAACGGCATTATTTCATTCTTTTTGATGGCTGAGTAGTATTCCATTGTATATATATACACCACATCTTCTTTATCCATTCATCTGTCAATGGGCATTTAGGTTGCTTCCATACCTTGGCTATTGTAAATAATGCAGCCATGAACATTGGGGTGCATGTATCTTTTCAAATTAGTGTTTTTGGTTTTTTCAGTATATATATATATACTTTCTTGATACACTTAATTCAGATATTACATAATATTCACTGCTGGTGTCTGAAGCTCCATCTGTGCACCAGCTCACTGGAGGAAGCCAGGCACAGGAGACGGGTACACAGCTCAGTAAGTGTTGTTTGCCCAGGTGGGTACAGACCACTCGGGACTTACATTGGCTGTCGATGAAGCCAAGGCTACAGGATGCACCCCCTCCCCTACATACACACACACACAACACACATACGTACACACATCACACACACACACACACACACATACACAATCCACACACACAACACACACATACACAGAGACACACAGAGACACACATATACACGGAGACACAATACACACACACACACATACACAATCCACACACACAACACACACATACACAGAGACACACAGAGACACACATATACACGGAGACACAATACACACACAACACACACATACATATACAAAGACACACAGATACACACACGCAACACATATGTACACACACAACACACACAACACACACATACATATACAAAGACACACAGATACACACACGCAACACATATGTACACACACAACACACA